ATCATGACACAATAGGAGCTGAGACAATAATTGAGGTTTTGGTTTTTCCTTAGTTTTGTTTGTTTTGTGGCTTGAGCATTTGGAATTTCACAAGACACATAACTGAGACTGACACTAGATTTTCATGGGTAAACACATGTTTGTGGCCAAGAAATAATGCAGCGCAATGCAAATGAGAAAATGAGCTGGTATATCTAAAAAGAAGGAAAAACTAAGAAATGAGGAATTGAATTTTACCAATGTCCTGGTAGTAGTGTTCTGAAATGTAAAAATATTAAGATGTTCTGGCTTTTCTTTTTGGACCATCTTGTGCAGTGTACTGAATTCAAAAAAGTAAACAATAACAAAATGTATTGGTCTTAAGTGTTTATTTTGCTTTTACTTCATGAGGAATATTTGCTCATGATCAATGAGAATGCCATGAAAATTTAGTTAGATACTTGGAGCAGCTGGAAATCATTATGCAATAGAGATTCATGCACAGCAGAAGGTGAGAGAGTTAAATATTCTATTTAACTTTCACTGGTAAATGCTAAAGTGTAGTCTCCAAAAGCTTTGCTTTTAAACTTTTCTTTCTAGCCCATTTCCTTAGTGCACTTAGATTATAAAAGAGTAGAAATTTGGTCTAACACTGACTGAACTGGGGAGCAGTGGAACAAGCTGGAGGTGCTGAAATCCAAATGTGGGGGCTGGGTGTCTAACTCACATAATTTAACCTAGAACTCCAAGATCATCCATTTTTCCTGTTAAAAGAAAAATAATTTGTACAAATGTTAAGTATTCTACCATATTGAAGAATTCGCACTGGCATAAATGGGGACCTGGAAATCAGATTTTTATTATCATTTCATATATCTGTGGAACTCTGACTTTCAGTACAGGATCTTTTTAAACAGTTGCCTTTCAGACTTCATCTAAAGTTTCATGAGTGTTCTAGAGCAGTGGCTAACAGAAAACAGCTTGGTGGAGTCATTTGTACTTTTTGGAAGCCTGGAAGAACCCATTCCTGGTGGTTAAGAAAGATCATGGAGTGCAAAATTATATTTGATAATCTGGAAATTGGTGTAAGATTGAAAATAAGTGCAAGTGTAAATGATAAACATTTATTGTTAGGAGTAAGTACAGAATGTGGTACTGTAAAATTCCACAATTGAGGCAATGTTTAATAGGTAAAGGTGGTTGGAATGTATTCCATCTTTTAAAATCAATCTGGATCTTTTTAACATCAGAAAATTTGTTCTTAATTCTGTAAATTTATTTGGTCTCACTCACAATGCTGAAGTTCATTTTGGCAGCCCTGAGTTAGGTGAAAAGTGTCCAGAGATGCAACTAGAATGATGAGAGATGCTGAAAAGCAAGGGGGCACTGAAAGATTAGGTCTAATTCCAAAGTCAGACAAAATGGATGTATGCACAGTAGTAATGTGGGAAGAATAAGCTAGACACTCCTCTCTTTAAACAGGTTAATTCCTGTAGGGTATTTAGCTTACTTAATGTGTTACAAAGCTTTCTCCAATATTTTTTGGTTACATCTTGAAGTTTCTTCCATGTATTAAATCTTTAGGACTTCATGCTGAAGGTCTCTGTGCCTTGCAAGTTAGCAAGCTGCTTCCTGTAAACCATTCTGGTATTTCAGCTGGCTCTTTAGAAGTTCTCAGAACATGCCTTTGAAAGTTCTTCTGTGCATCACTTCTTGCGCACCGTTTTGGTTGAAATGTCTGTTTACATCCATGGTGATTCGGTACATGTTCTTGATAAAGACATAAGATGCAGGATTTCTGAGAATGTCTTTTCAGACAAGCAAGCTAATTTCCATGGTTAAATGTGGTGAATACTGGGTATTTTCTGAAAAAGGTAAGGGTGACCAGGTAGGTTAGCTAGTCCCAAGATCAGAGATTCACCTTATCAAACACAACCTCTAGAGACTTGCAGTTTGTCAGGAGGGGCTGCACAGCTTTAAGTTGCTGAAGCGATCAGTTAGTGTTCCCATTAGACCCTCAGCCTTTTAACTATTGGTGCGGAGATGGTGGCTTTCTGTCTTGAGCCTTTCACAGATAAACTTTAATCCAAGTAGGTGCTTCTGGACAATCTACTGGTACTGTTCTAGCACAGTGTTGTGTGACATGTTCGACTGATTGGTGATGGGCGATAGCTGTAAGTGTACTCTATGCGTGATTTGTCATGCTGGACACTTAGGCCTTTACAAATTTCATGACCTTTGTGTTGTAAAACCTAATATTCTTGTCTGTTTTTCAGAAGAAGTGTTTAAATAAATCCAAAGCTGGGGTAACAGTCTCTTAGTAGTAGAATTACTGATAAAAATGAGTATCTACTTGGCAGTTAATTGCTGTGGCTATGTATCTTCTGTCCCGTGGTGTGTGTGTAGAGGGGCAGAAGGTATGTTCCAGATTCTGTTGAAGACCCTAATTCCCTCAGGTCTCTAACAATCCCAACGTAAGAGGCTACATCTGGAATAACGGGTCCTAATTTGGCTCCCTCAGTACCAGAGGTGTATCAACAAACTGGAGAGAGTTCAGCAGAAGTCTGTTGTGATTGGTAGGGACAGTAGTGTATCAGAAATGGAGAAATGGATTCTTTGAACCTAAAGAAGAACAGATTAAGGTGAGGGAAATTAATCACCATTTTTAGTTACCTTAAAATGGAGCCAGGTTCTTCAGAAGTGCCCAGCAAAAACAAGAGAGTCATAAATTGCATCAAGGAGAACTGTAGCTGGACATCAAACCCAGTGTTTTTACACAATAAAAATGGTTGAATTGTAGAACAGTTTGCTCAGGGAGGTTGAAAGTCTCCATTGATGGAAATTCCACAAAGCTTGTCTAGAGAAGGCCTTGACCAGCCTGACCTAGGTTAAGAGTTGGCCCTGCTTCAAGCAGGGGGCTGGACTGGAGACCTCCAGAGGTACCTTCCAACCCAGGTCATTCTGTATTAAATACGTTTTAGCAACTGTTGATAAACATTTTGTGCTTCATTTTTTTTTTTTTAAATTTCGATTTCCAGTTGATTTTCTGAGTTGTAGATACTAGTGGAACATACTGGGAGAGATGCTTTTAGGGTGCAGTTTTACAGTCATTAAAGCTAGTGCTGCCTTCCTGCCCTTTCATTCCTTTGCTTGTCCCTGTACTGGCTCTGATGCTTGTCTGATACCTGGAGTGAGCTGGTGTCAGGGTACTAATCTTTCAGGAAATTAGATTAGCAACAATTCCTCCCAGATTATTGATGTAGAAGAAGAGATTGAGAACCAGGAATGAAATTTTGTGGTGAAGGAGGTGAGAGCACAGAGGTGCTGGTTTAGATCACTTAAACAGTTTATGGGGCTGCACGGCAGTAACTGACTTAAGTTATTAATGTACTTTTTAGTGTTTAATTCATAGAGCTGTAATGGCTATACATGGATTTTATTTTGGATTCAGCTGTGTCAGGCCACCCCAGGAAGAAGTTAGTGCCTCCAAGCCATTCTGTAACTCATCTCTGCTTCTCTGCTCAAAGCTATGACATCTTCTGATCTCCAGGTGAATCTTTTCTGACCTGTTTCATTCCAAATCTGCAGAGATAACTGAGTCAGCTAAACCATGATGTTGGTCTGACTGAATCAGGCAAGCAGCTCTCAGCTGGAGACTTCAGCAGAAGAATGGTGATGGAGGAGGCAGCATTTGGTGTTGCCATCTGTGCAACAAATGTTTCTCTGCAGTGTGTGCCTGTTGGATAGCTGCCCGGATGGTGCAGACTTAAATTCACCTCTGTAATCCTAACCTTATGCTTTTTGGGGGTTAGGGAGTTGAATTTATGTTCATGTGAGCAAATGATATAACATGTTTGATTCACTCTGGCTGTTTTGTATTCTGCAAAACTTCCTTTTGATGTTCTGCTTTGTTCAGTGCTATGTTAAAGGAAACTGAACACTGGTCAGGCACTATCCATAATGTCATGGCATTCCCTTGTCATGATTACAAATAATGTATTACTGTGTATAATTCTCAGATAAAATTGTTTCTTCCACCTTATGCAGAAAGACAGAAGTAAATGTTCTTTATTAGACCAGCTGATACAGTTTGAGAAATTAGACAGACTTCGAGTGCACAAACTCTTCAAGCCTGAAATAAAAGTAGAATAAATATAAGCTGAGAACAATTGCTGAGAGTCTTAGGCCATCTCTGAAAGACAGTGGTTAATATCCCTTGAGTGTAAAGTATATGGAGTGTGAGGAGACAGGGTGAAATGGTTTGAATAATGTTTATGCAATTAAACTCTGCTGAGGTATAATCCTAATCCTTAGAATCCTTCCAATTTATCTAACTAGTAGAATTCAGGGGTATTCTAAACTTAAAGTTTAAAAGTTTGAATTAATCTCAAAGACTGAGTGCTAAAAATTTCTTGCTGATATTTTAGGTTTACAAGTCTTTGCCCCATGAGGCAGTGATGTTTTTTGATACAGTTTTATAATCTTTTGGTCTTTCTGAATTTGTACTATCTGGCTCGTGACTGTTTCAAGAAGCAATATCTCTTGCTCACAAAATAGTTTCAGTCATAACTGGCTTCTGTTCTTCCATTTCTGCTCTTAAAAATGATGTGCTAGATATTGTACATACTTTCCCCAAGTTCCAGTACTTGGCATTTGTGTGTCATCTAGCAAACTATAGTTTTTACAGATAGGATGGCTGTGAATGTTGCCTGCTAAAATAATTGTGGCATTTCACTGAGTGGTCAAAAAATGGAATTCAGGATTGCTGATTTTACTGTAACAGTGGGATTTATCTCTGACTTTTGAAAGCCAGATATCCAGTCTAAGCTAACAAGGCAGCTCCAGAAGATAATTCTCTTATCTCACATGCTTGTTGGATTAAATAAACCTCCATGTGGGGAACTTTTCTCTCTTCATTGTTTACAATGAAAAATTAGATAATAAACTTAGCTAGGTGCCAGACTTTGAGGGTTGAAAATTCTCCCTGACTTAAAGGGTCTTAATGTCGCCCTGGCTTAATGTCTCTTGGACAGACAATTAAAACTGTGGTTGTTCTTATATTCTTGTTTCAGATGGACCCTACTAGAATTTCAAAAGAACATGCACACTGTGTCAGAACACTTTTTGGGCATCAAGAAAATACAGATTTGCATGATACATCCTTTGAAACTCAAGAAGCAAAGTTAATGCCAGAATCATGTAGAAGCATGAAACAGGCTCTCCAAAGAGCTGTGCAGAAGGTAAGTGGCAGACAGACTGTGCATTCCTTTATTTCATGCTCCTATTGAACTTACAACAATGTTTCCAACATATTTGGAGGTAAGATCTAGAAAGTATTTTCTGGTGTTTGAATAATACCTGGAGTTGCATCTAAGATCATACTGTGTTTGCTTATGAACCTGGTAGTGGTTAACCAATTCTGTATTCAAAAACATTTTTTTTTAAGAAAGGAAGACTTGAAGTTGCACTGAGAAAGCTATGATTGCAGTCAGTTCTGACATTTGGATGGGCCTGAATGGTAGTCAGTTGTCCTAGTATTTGTGTAGGTTTGCCAACATTTTGGTTGTTCATAAAAAACCCTGACAGTTCTACATGTTTTTCGAAGCAATCTTCCTGACTCTGTTTCTCACACGATTCTCCCAAGTCAAAGTCATCAACAAGCAAAATATTGCCCAAAAGACAGAGAAGATAACATTTGTTTTCACCATTTGCTCTTGTTTCTTACTCTTTCTGCAGCCCAAAATGAGGCATAGTATCACCTTTTTCTTTTTTTGCTCACTTTGCCAGTTCTCTGTTCTGTGCAGACCATGCCCACACCAGCAGAAGAGCTCTTGCCATAGCACAACAACAGGGCAGTCTTTGCCCAGCATTTGAGAATGACAGCTTGTTTCCAAACACTAAAAACAAAAGCAGTGAGCTAAAGAAGTCAGCCCTAATGAAGAAGCCTAGGCAAGGTGGATATATGTCACAGTCACTGCTTACTGCAGTTCCTGCTTACTGATCTCTTTGTGTGTTCGTGATAGTATTTAGTGCTGATTATGGGTTATTTAAAAGCTGAATATCTGCTATGGTATTTGATTTTCCTGGATTACCAGGTCCGTTACTACTACTTCATATCTGCATAAGACTGTCAGTATTTCATAAAGGATCCTGCATTAGATTTGAGCTGAAGTAATGAACTCTTTACAGAGTGAATTATACTTGAGTTAATTATATGTTACTTTAATTCTGCTAATGCTTGCTTTCAGTCGAGTCCCCTGAGTGACAGATCTTTTTGTGAACAAAACTTTAGGGAACCTAGGAGTTCATGTCTTGTCCCATTTGCTAACCACCTCCTTGAAATCTTAAGGAAAAAAAAAAAAAAAAAAGGTTAACTCTGTAGGATTACTTGTGTCTTCCGGCACTTCATAGACTCACACTACAACTACTTCTGTTTTCTGTGTCCTTGTGCTAGACTGCTCATTCATGCAGCTCTTATGACAGAGTAAGGAGCTTGTTACAGTAAGTGAATGGGAAGCTCTGTATTCTCATAATTTTTCTGCTGGTTACTCAACAAAAGCATTGACTTTAGTTGAGGCTGCATATCCTGCCATTCTGGATGGAGGTCAAATGCTGCAATGTCCATGGCCAAGATAAGTAGTGAGTAGGGATAACTTTTTGGGCTGATAACCATTAGTTTGAGAACAATACAATTTCCTTTGCCAAAATAATCAGACTCTGAATTTCCTTTGAATGCAACAGAATGCATTAAGCAGCTGGGTGGGTGTTCTGGATGCTTTGTCATCATATATTGATGACATAGAAAAATAGGAAAATGCTTGCCTTGGGCTACATTTGCATCTTTTCAGTATATCAGAGAAGTGAAGGAAACAGTGTTAAGGCAAAATTATCCTTTATCGTATTCTGTGAGCTCTGCCTTTCATTGGCTCTGCTACAATG